TGACATCAGGGGCCCGGCGGTGGACCTGCAAGGCCGGCAGGAGTGCAAGGAAGCCCTGCGAAGGCCCTCCCTGGCCCCAGGCAGGCAGGGGTGGGGAGAGGCAGGGAGGAAGCAACTTACCCTCCCTCTTCTCCTGCCTCCTCCTAGCTGAATGAGGGCCGGAAGCGGGGCGGCCGGAAGCAGGGGGCGGGGCTTCGTCATGTGCCCCACCCCTGTACCTCACCCGGGGAAACTGCGATCCCCCACGATCCCCCCGAAATGACCTCTGATCACCCCCCATTAATGCCAACTACACACTCTTAAGCCAAGGACGGTATTAACTTCCATATCTTGTAACCTAGTACGTAGAATGATAAGGAACCAATCTTGCATTAATCTGTCTGTAATTATGCTTGGGCTTAGAACTCAATAATCAGAAGACCAACTAACAGCACATCTTATGCAAGGAGATCGAAACTAAAAAGTATAAAAATGACAATGGCACTGAGGACCGTCCATGAAGACGTTGACCTGATGGCTAACACAAGTCTTCTCTGCGCAGTTATACGCAGGAAGTGAACAACCCACATGGACTATCTGGAGACAGGTCACCTCCGAAAGGCTGTTTGAGCTTTACCGGGAGCTGGCCAGCATACGCTTTTCCTGCAGCCTTGCCGATAAGCTTTAGTTTTGCATGTTGTTCCAATAAAGGGCACTGATTGATGGGAGGATAACTCATATCCAGGGTCTGTTTATTCCATTGCAATAACACTGCGGCTTCTGCTATTTATTTGTTTGTTTATTTCATTTATACCCCACTTTCTCCTCGCTGGGGCTTACATCCTTCTCCTCCATTTTATCCTCACAACAGCCCTGTGAGGTAGATTAGGCTGTGAGTATATGAACACATGAAGCTGCCTTATCCTGAATCAGAACATAATTCCATCAAGGTCAGTATTGCCTTCTCAGACTGGCAGTGGCTCTCCAGGGTCTCAGGCTGAGGTCTTTTGCATCACCTACTGCCTGGTCCTTTTAACTGGAGATGCCAGGGACTGAACCTGGGACCTTCTGCATGCCAAGCAGATGCCTTACCATGGAACCACAGCCCTGTCACTGTGACTGGCATGAAATTCTTGCCATTTGCCAGCTTGTTGAATCTTTGAGAAACTTACTCGCACTGTTTTTAACTGAGCAGCCGAACCACAAAGAGAAAACAAATGGAGATGCTTGGCATCACTATAGATAGATACTACAGAGGATGAGCAGGTGGCCTAAGTGATGTAACTTAGTAGAAGTCCCTTCCTCCCACTTCCTTGGTAACTGTCTTGTAAGTACATGTTTTTTTGAGTAAATTTGCATTAAGCATACTGGAGAATAATTGAAACATTGTACATTAAAAACATTAATACAAGTATATAGCTTGAGAATACTATACAATCAAGAGTAACTGTTACAAGTGATTATGTAGAGATTCTTTTTTGATGTTCTACTTTAAAAGTTTTAAATGACCTTGCTACCTGAAAACCCTGATCCAGTTGCGACTGAGCAATGTTTTATGATATGGGTTTTCAGAACCATTTCAAGTAGTCTTTCCAAGATGGAGGTATGTATTCTTCCTCCGATAGATAAGACAGAATTGGAAACCACTTTGCACTGAACGTCTTGGATGAGTTGTTTTTCATGTAAGTACCAGTTTTGTCAGTTATCCCATAGCTTTCTGAACCAGATACGGATGTCAGGGGTATTCTTGTCTTTCCACATTGAAGCTATAGAGACTCTTGCAGCGTACAGCATTGTTTCTAGCGTATTTTTATTGTGATGTTGCTTGATCTGATTCGGCCACAGCTCTAATAATAGGCTTTCAGGGTCAAGTGTTAGGTCAATATCTAAGATCTGTTTTATCTTATTTATTACTTCTATCCAAAAGGATTTTATTTTTGTACATTGCCACCAGCAGTGTGAAAATGATCCCAGTTCACCACAGCCTTTCCAACATTTTGGTGAGTATGAAGATGACATATGTGAGATAGTTTGAGGTGTTAAGTACCATCTTGTTATGATTTTAAGTTTTTGGATTTCAACTGCATACGAGTGAGGTTTGTTTTGAGAAGACCTCCAGATCTCTGTCCAGTTTGTTTCATCTAATTTCTTTGAGCAGTCTTTCTGCCAAGCTTTCTGGTATTTTAGTGTTTTAGGATCATTGTCTTTGAGCAGTAGTTTATATAAAGCTGAGATCATACCTTTGTTTTGGAGACTGTACTTTTTAAGAATGACTTCAAATTCTGTTAGGGGTTTTGAAATAACATCTTTTATCTTTTCTTGACTCGTCACATGTTGTAGTTGTAAATATAAGAACCATGGTATCTTTTGGTCCAATGTCTTTTCTATATCTAACTTAGAGCGAAGGCCCTCTCTTCTAACTACATCACAGTATCTGGATAGACCTACCTCTCTCCATCTTTTCCGTAATTCTTGGTGAGTACTTTTCAAGAACCAAATCTGTGATGTATAAGTGGAGTATCTCGAAATTCTTGGAAGCAGTTTGTGTTTCATTTTTGCCCAATAATTCAAAGAAGGATAAATGAGGTTATCTTTCTTTATATCTGCAATTTTGTTCGATGAATTGCCCCACAAAAGTGATTCAATATTACGTGATTTAGTTTGCTCATAGACTAGATTAACCCATTTTGGTGGCGATGAATTTCTTTGCATCCTTATAATATTTGCTAATAAAGTTGCCTTGTAATATGTTGTGAGATCTGGAAGACCATAGCCTCCATATATTTTGGGCCTCTTCAGAACCTGGTGACCAATACGTGGTTTCTTCCCATTCCAAAGAAATTTTCTTAATGTGCCTTGCCATTTGTTTAATTCAGGTTGTGGGATGTGAATTGGTATTGTCCTAAATAAGAAAAGGAATTTAGGGAGAATAAAGGCTTTTATAAGGTGGAATCTGTCCAACCAAGTGAGGTTCAGTTTATTCCACTTTTGTATATCTCTTTGGACCTTGGCATGTGCGTTATGATGATTATGTTGAAATAAATTTATATTGTCATGTGCTAAATCTTTACCGAGATAGTGTAACTGTCTTGAACTTTCCAAAAAGTTGCTTTCTCTTTCACTGGGGCTTAGACTTCAGTCTCTCTGCCCTGTTAGACAACAAGAAGGAGTCTGTAGGAGCAGGGGACTAAGGACGACCAACGGAGAAAACAACACGCTCCATTATTGCTTCATCTTCTCAAGGCAACCCTTGACTGTGAACAGTAAGTAAATGTCTCCAGATTATCTGCCATTTTATTTCTGTGGTGTCTGTCTGCTTTGTGAAGGAATTATGATCAGATTAGGGTGGGGTTGGATTCTTTTAATGTACACATATATTTTAAAAAGTTTTGTACAATGCAGCCATCTGGGTTCAAATTATAAACCAACACTGACATGGGAGATGTTTGATCCTTTGCAAAGGCCACTCTAAACAGGTACTTGCAAGCTTTCTCCAAAACTGTAAAAAAAGGGTACATGGAGTGCAGACAATATTTGGCGAAAAAATGGTGTGGTGAGAAAATGTTAAGAAGCCCCTCTCCTTCAATTAGTATTTACTTTTAAAAGCATATTCCCGGTGGTTGCGTTGTGTGAAATTAAAACCTGCCCATGAAATGAATTGAGTCTCAGCCTTCGTGTCTTTGAGAATTAATTTTTTCTGCTTGGCAGCCATTTTAGACTTCCGTTGGGAACGTCAAACTCACAGCCCAGGAGAGCATGTGGTGTAGTTTCTTCATAGAACTACAAGATGACAGATCTGTCAGGGGTAGGGTTGCCAACTCTGGGCTGGAAAATTCCTGGAGATTTGAGGATGGAGCTGGGGGGGGGGAAGACAGGGTTTTGGGAAGGGATGGACCTCACTGGGGTATAACCCCATTGGGTCCACCTTCCAAAGCTGCCATTTTTCTCCAGGGAAACTGATCTCTGTAGTCTGAAGATCAGCTGTAATTTCAGAAGACCTCCAGGCTCCATCTGGAGGTTGGCAACCCTGGGCAGGGGTCTTCTTTTGTTGGAAGTGAAGGACTTTGTAATTTCTCTTAGTCTCAGACTTTAGAGATGGGACTATAGAGCTAGAGAGACAGATAGGTCAGGAACCCTGTATATCCTTCCTTTCCACTGCTCTAGTATTGTCTCTTTGATGTGCAGATTGCTGCTCTCAGACCTCAATGTTGCGCCACCGTTTGCCCCGATACCATTGGTCAATTTCACACCCGAAGCCACGGGGCTGCATTTGACCCGCGGCTTTGCCCGATTTCCTCTGCAGTTTCATGATCCTCAAAAAACAGGATCATGAAACTGCAGGGAAAATCGGGCAAAGCCGC